GTTATTTAGACAGATTTGGGTAAGTTTTATCTCTCTGGATAAGAGACTGAAGAACATCCTTTCAGAAATTGATTGTTAAGAATATTTTTTTCCAGTTCTAAAAAAGAATGCATTACATACATCCTTTCAGAGATGCTGTGTCTTTTTGTGCTATTCATTGCACAGGGTTATTCACTCATATCATGGAATCACATGCCTTTCATTCAAAATCACTCTGAGTTGATGCTTCTTTTGTTTGCCATTTGTCATTTTCAAGGTATATCTCTATCTTGTGATGCCTCATCAGCAGAATCTTTCTCTCTTTTACTGGATTTGCTTAATTCTTAAATCTTTCGCAATGTTATGTTTGATTGCATTCTTTTTGCTTCTGTTAGCAGATGTTTTTTAACAATCCTCTTAATTTGCAATGCTTTATCCATTTCTCTGGCTGGCAAATCATGATATTTTGGGATAAAAATATACTGCTTTATTTGGGCCTCTGTGCTTGCTTCTGCCATTCCCTCACTTTAAACAAAGCTAATAATGTATTAGATGATTTGTATGCATTTGTCAAAACTCATTTATTGGTATATTTAAAATTTATACATTTTGTTGTATGTGAATTTTGCATCATTAAAAACAAAATTGTGGGCCAGCAGGTGGCATAACGACTATGTTGCTGGACTCCCACATAGTTGACAGTGGTTTAAGTCCCTGACCCAGCAATTTAAAACTCAAGCCAGGTGCATGTGCATTCATGCCCAATTCCTGAGAGGAGAATGGATAAAGCAAGCCACTGGACACACACAAGGCTGACTGTGGTTCATGTCCCAGACCTGGCATCTTGCTTTCTGACTTTCTCTCTCTCTCTCCTTCTCTGGTCAAATTAAAATAAATAAAGTTAAATAAAATAATTCTTTAAAAAAGTTGTGGGACAGCAGGTGGCGTGGTGGTTAAGGCACTGGATTCCACATAGCCGACTCCACATTTTGAGTCCTGGACCCAGCAATTTGAAAAACACACAGGGGGGACCAGCAGTTGGCATAATGGCTATGTCGCTGGACTCCTATGTGGTTAAACAGAGTTCAAGTCCCGTACCCAGAGACCTAAACTCACACCAGGTGCATGTGTGTGCGTGACCAAGATCCCGAGAGAATGGAGGAGAAGGGATTGCGGTGTGGCCATCCCCCCTGGGGGGGTTATTTCTTGCTTTCTGTCTCTCCAGCAATCACACACATCCTATAGAAAAAAACTCTTAAAAAAAAAAAAGCACTGCATAATCTTTATAAAAAAGACTTAATTTTATTTATCCATTTATTTATTTTAATTTGACCAGAGAGAGACATACAGAGAGAGAGAGGAAAGTGAGAAAGCAAGCACCAGGTTCAGGGCTCGAACTGTGGTCAGCCATGTGGGAATATCCAGAGTCTTAACCACTACACCACCTGTTTGTCCACACTGTATAATCTTAACTAGAGTTTAATAGTATTCACAATTCTTTTTCTTCTGATTTTGCTGGAGCAGTTGTGTGCTCACCAAAGAGAGACAGATAAAGATGGAGAAAGAAAGTGAGAAAAACATCCTCTTGGGAAGATGGCCATGCAGCAATCCCTTCTCCATTCTCCTCAGGATTTTAAGCTTGCACTCTCATATACCTTGTACCATTTTTCTTTCGTCCTTTATTTTACTTTATTTTTTTAGAGAGGTTTTTGCTATAGAGTGCATGAGCTCACCAGAAAGACAGAGAGAGACAGAGAGACAGAAAGTGAGAAATCACCCCCTAGGGAGAGGGCCACACTGGAATCTTTTCTCCTTCATTCTCCTTTCAGGATTTTAGGCAAGCAGGCACATGCACCTGACATGAGTTTTAAGTCTCTGGTTCAGAACTGTGGTCTACTACATGGGAGTTCAGTGACTTAACCATTACGCCATCTGCTGGCTCTAAGATTATGCAAAGTTAGGGATAAAGTGTACTGATGTCCAGAATTTACTATGTTTTTTTTTTTTTTGGAGAGGTTTTTGCTATATGGCGAGTGCGCTTGCCAGACAGAGAGACAGAAAGCGAGAAACACCCCCCCCCCAGGGGGGATGGCCACGCCGCAATCCCTTCTCCTCCATTCTCCTCTTGGGATCTTGGGCATGTATGCACATGCACCTGGTGTGAGTTTAAGCCACCAGGTCCCGAACTGCAGTCGACTACGTGGGAGTCCAGTGACATAGCCATTACGCTAACTGCTGGTCCCCTCCCCCTTTATTTTTTTTTGTAGAGGTTTTTGCCATAGGGCATGTGTGCTCGCCAGACAAACAGAAAGAGACAGAGAGACAGAAAGCGAGAAATCACCCCCCGGGGGGATGGCTACACCGCAATCCCTTCTCCTCTATTCTCCTCTGGGGATCCTGGGCATGCACACACATGTGCCCGGCATGAGTTTTAAGTCACCGGGTCTGGGACGCAAACCGTGGTTGACTACATGGGAATCCAGTGACATAGCCATTACGCTAACTGCTGGTCCCTAAATAAGCAATTCTTAAAAAATAAAAAAGAAAGTTGAAAAACATGCTCCTTAACTGCCCTGAGGAGGTACGCTGATCAGCTGCTTCAATCAGATTCTGTGATTGTTTCCATCAGAGTTGGATCATCATAATTTATTTAATTCATGTAAATAAACATATATTTAGAAGAATAAGTGAGATAATGTATAGATATGGTTTATAGGCCCATCTTGGTAGTACAGTAGGTAGGAAGAACTGCAGTGCTGAAAGATACATAGCCAAACATGGGTTCAAATCCCAAGGCCAGAGCCAGCTTGAAAATATGTGTGTGCATGTCTGTGTGCGCTTAAGATCATGAGAAGCTGGAAGGCTGGGAAAGAAAAATTGCAGCATGACAAAACCCTGTCAATGGTGCTTTTTTCTCTCCTCTTTCTCTGTGCACTCATGTGCTATTATAACTAAAATAAACTTAACAAAAGAAAATAGTTTATAGGGGCTGGCAGGTGGCGTGGACTTGCTTTCTCACTTTCTCTTCTCTCTTCTGGTCAAATTAAAAAAAATAAATAAAGTTAAAATAATTATTGAAAAAAGAAAATAGTTTATAAAATGTGAAGTACTATATAAATGATATTATTAATACTGTGATGTGTAAGAAATTGAGATCATGCAAAATCTGTTTTTTTCTTTCTCTCTTTTTTTGAAATTTTGCGGGAGGATTAGGACCAACAATTGGCATAATGGCTATGTCACTGGACTCCCATGTGGTCGACCGCGGTTCGAGTCACAAACCCAGTGACTTAGACTCAATGCCAGGGCGTGTGTGCGCATGTGTCCAAGACCCTGCTCATGTGTCCAAGATCCAGAGAGGAGACTGGAGGAGAAGGGATTGCGGAGTGGCCATCCCCCCAGGGGTGGAGGTGGGTGGGGGGGTGATTTTTTGCTTTCTGTTTCTGTCTTTCTCATGAATGCACGTGCCCTATAGCAAAAACCTCTCAAAAATAAATAGTAGAAATTACCCTCACTCCCACTTGACACAACCTCCTGTCCATTTTCGGGAATTTTGACACTCAGGCATAGGTGCCTGCTGTTTTTCAGGCTGCTCGGTCCAGGACTCCAGCAGTTAGGTCGGCTACATGTGATGCAGCCGCCTTAACCTCCAATCCCACCAATAGCTGGGTCACAGGTTTCTGGGAGACTTAAGGGGTGAAGGGTCAAGTCCCAGGGGTAGGGGATATATTTTTGAAGAAACAATAGCAATCCTAGGGAACCAGCAGTTAGCGTAATGGCTATGTCGCTGGACTCCCATGTAGTCGACTGCGGTTCGCGTCTCGGACCCGGTGGCTTAAAACTCACGCCGGGCGCGTGTGCTTGTGTGCCCAAGATACCAGGAGGAGAATGGAGGAGAAGGGATTGAGGCGTGGCCATCCCCCCTGGGGGGGTGATTTCTCGCTTTCTGTCTGTCTCTCTCTGTCTGTCTGGCGAGCGCAGGCACCCTATAGCAAAAACCTCTCCAAAAAAAAGAAAGAAAGAAAAAGAAAGAAACAATAGCAATCCTGACACATGGTCAGACCAAACTCTGGGAGCACAAAGCCAAAGGATCACTTTCTCTTTGCTTTTTTCCACTCTAAGAGTGTTTGGAAATCTGACAGTCAAGGCAGCGCCTAGTCTATGGCACCCACTGGCAGAGAAATCTAATTTTCATCGTGTACCTCTATCTCTCTATCCTGTACGGCCACTTTTCGCCTTTTGCCTTTATATGCTTTTTTCTTCGTCTTCATTGTCAGCGAGCAGTCTAAGTATGACCGTTTTAATCCTATCGCCATATGGACTAGTTTGCCTTATGGCGACCTTGACAGTCATCCGAGTGGAAGGCCGAAGACAGGGTGTCGGTTGTGAGGCGTAACCATCTAATGACTGTGAGGAGGTGCCACTCTGAGGGCCACCGCAGAGTTCCACTGAGCGCGGAGTTCTCTAGAAGATTGACAGGCAGTGCACCAACTGTCTTTGCCTCAGCAGCCTACGCCATCTCGCGAGATTTAAACGTCTATCTGAGGGAGAGAGGGAGTCAATGGCCCCTCCCAGTGGGGGATGGGAACGTCTGTGGCGCAATCATTGCGCGAGATTGGGCCACGGTCTTTAGGGGGCCTTGCTAAATCTCGCGATACTTTGAAGGCCACAGGCTAGAACTCCGGGCAGTTTCTCGCGAGAGCCCGTGCTGAGCGCTCTGAGAGGCCCCGTGTGTTTGTGTGTGTGTATGTGTTGGTGAATGTACCGAGCAGCCGCGGCCGCCATTTCAGGGAGCTTGTCGACGCTGTCGCAAGGGTGGATCCTGAGCTGCCGAAGCCGCCGTCCTGCTCTTCCGCGCGGGCTCCTCTAATCCCATTGTTTTTTTTAGATTCGCTCTGGCCTAGTCGCCCTCGGAGCCCGACATTCGGGCTGGGCGGTACCGCGGCCTGGGTCTAGGGGCTTAACAGTAGTTGCCCCGGCAGCGGCGGCGGCAGCAGCAACAGCGTAGTAGTAGTAGTAGTAGCAGCAGCAGCAGCAGCAGCAGTAGTAGTAGCAGTAGCATTTCCTTGTCGAATACGAGCACCACAGGCTCCCGAAAGTCCGCACAGGTAGGGGGGGCGTTGCGGGCTCGCGTACTGTCAGCTTTTCCGAGGTTTTTGTTTTCTTCTGGACCGAGGGGTACTCTTGGCGGTTTTTAGAGGTGGGAGGGGGATGGTTCTGGAGACATCAGCCACATTTCGCTGACCATGCCCTTCATTTCCAATTGGGTAGCGTCGGTATTTTCATAGATCCCAGGAAGGTTTTGGGAGACGGCGACCTGTCCCTTCGAGGCCTGGGCCGGCCGCGACCTCCCAACATGGCGCCTGTCGAAAGCTGCCTTGGCACACAACCCCTCCCAACGGAGGGAGTTTCCCATTACCCCTAAAATGGCAGCGCGGGTTTGCGCGCAAAGAGGCGCTTTTTCTTGAGAGCTACCATTGCAGGCTGTTTTTTAATCGATATTGAAGTCTCTTCGTATGTTTGGTGTAAAGAGACGTTTCATATTTATTCACGCATGCTAAGCTCGGTAAAGTGTAGGGCATTTGAAGGTTTTCCTGAAATTTTGGCAAAGGAAGTAATTTAGAATTGAGAAAAACGTTCACTCACAGTATTGTCTTTTATCTTCCTAGGCGTGTAAAGAAAATGGCAGACGATATTGATATTGAAGCGATGCTTGAGGCCCCTTACAAGAAGGTGAGAAAAAAATGTCGGTGAGGTTTATATATTTCTTAATTTAGCATTATTCACGAAACTACTGCTGAAATGTAAACTAACCTCCCCGGAGCCCTCTTGATTTATCTTATCAGAGATGCATTACGTGTAACTTACAAAAGTAAATATTGCTATTGATGTAATAATATTGTGCAGTAGTTTCACTTCAGCGTGATGAATAAATGCCCATCTATCTCTCTTTGTAGACTTGCCTAACGATATCTCACCTCTACTCCCATGAATTCACCTTTGATTCCAGTGTGAACTGTCAATCATAAGGTAGTAATTGAGTGACTTATCGCTGTACCGTGGTCCCCTAGGTAAAATGACTCAACTAAGAAATACCAGCTCCAGTTTGGTATAGCAAAAAGGTGAATGTAGTGGTTTGGGAAAATAGCAGGGGTCCAAGAATAACAAAACAACCAGTCTGTGGCAAGCAAATCTTTTAATAAGATGAGTCTTACAAGAAGAAATGGGTGAGATTTAAAACTATATGTTTATGTTAAAGACTGGTGATAGTAAATAAGAAAACAGGCAGGTGGTGATCTGCTGCTCTGTTACTTACTAAAATTCTTGGATCCCTGAATAGAAATTTAAAAAAAAAAAAAAAAAAGAGAGAGAGGCAGTATCACAGCTTAGAGTCACTTGATGACTTTTACTGTTCTCCTTATTGTTTTATTTTTTAAGTAGGCCCTGTCATAGTATTTCACACTAAAAACTACAAAAGGATTATTTTGGCTAGTAATAGTTTTTGACCCATTTTAGTATCGCAGTAAAAGTAAACTATCTTTTCATTCTTTCACCAGTTGGTGGTGAAACTAGCAATATGCATGCATTATCACTGGTGTCACAAACTGTAAGCTTTGTAAATTAGCACTTATACTCCTATAGCTGATGTGATCAAACTTTAAACATTGCACTAAACCTTTTAAAAATAATACATTTGTTTTTTGAGTGTATAGCACGACCATGTGGTACCATTTTGGATGAATTCTTGATAACTTTAAGTAATGTAATTTTGTAATGCTTAGACTCTTGAAGAACTACTTTCTGTTTTAATGTTAAGATTCTTGTGTCTTAGTTTAACATGGATGTAATTCCATGAAACAGGTATGGAAGTAAGAAATGTTTAGGTTGGACTGGTGGATTATTAATTGACTTTCTTGGGTTCTTGGGAGTCAACATTACTAAAGCAGTGTGAATCCCTGTTTGCTTCAGGGCGAGATGTGTGACAGAGGTGGCATCAAGCTCTTACAGTCCCAACCCTCCAACGGAAATGGGCGAAGATCTCAGGAATGGCATCGGTCACAGGAAATCGATAGTGGCTGGCTGCTAGCGTGGCCACTTGGGGCTTAGGCAGAAATAGAGCCATGGTACTGACGAAAGGGACCATAGCACATCGAATAAAAACTCTAAACAGGACTTCATTCATGTTTTATAGAAATTATAATTAACCACTTGAACATTGTAAATCTGGATAACTTAATATCTGAACTATATAAGAAAGTAAAATTTAACATGTTAACATGGATTCTTATTTTTTGTATTTTGATGATTTAACTGTAAGCAACAAAGTGGTTAAACACATATCCATCTATATTTTTTTATAGCCTTCCATGTTAAACTATAAATAAGTAATTAGTTTTAAAATTGTTTTGTATTTTCTTATTCCTGTTCCCTTTACCCTTTGACAACTTGAAATGTTACCACTTCGTCCTCATGATGTTCTTCTATCAACCCTGCTTAGGATGAGAACAAGTTGAGCAGTGCCAACGGCCATGAAGAACGTAGCAAAAAGTAAGTTTTAAAAATGGGCCTGGGGTGTGAACTTTATGTGGTTGATATCTTACGATGTGTTCCTGTGGCAAAAAGCATCAAACTAAGGTTCTCTTCTAAGGCTCTTCTTTGCTTCTTTTTGAAATTTGGTTCCTTACTTTTTGGGACAGGACTTTTGCTTTTACCTAGATTTTAGATATATTAATAGTTTCAGGGAACTTCTGGACATCTTCCCCTCCAAGTCCGTCATGATAGTCTTGTTAAGAGTTTCTGTATAAAGCTTGTACTGTGTTGAAGCTTGTCCTCTAGTAAATCTTGTCTTGAAGATTGTCTTCCTAATCTTGGCTTAGTATTTGGAGATATTGATAAAGCTACTGTGTTTATCAACTTTAAAAGGAGGAGTTAAATAGGAAAACGATAGTAAACTGAGGCCAGTTTGTCCTAAATCAGAGCTTTGAATTATTTCTGTTCCTTAATGAAGACCATGTTTATAGAAATGTTGTATTTACATGTAAGTGCTTCATAATGGTCTCATTGTCCTTTGTGTTTTGAAAACTCCAGTAGACTTAACAGTGACACTGGAGTTTTTGAAATTATTTTTTTTATGCAATTTTGGTTAGTGAGCAGTTCAGTAGTAAGAACTCCGATACAAAATATTACAGAATATAGTTTATTTAAAAAAAAAAAAAAACTTAAGTTACAAATCAGATCCACTCTAGAAGGTTGGGTCTTAGTAGTTCTTGAAGATTGCTTTCAGCTCTAAGGTTAGTAATCTTAACATCTCATGGGCTTATTATATGCATTAAATTGTTTCCTTTGCCTGTATTTATTATGTCGTATCTAAACATTTTGTCATATTCTTGACATCATATATAGTGAAAAATGAAAGTAAAATAGCCATTTAATTTGATTGGGGCTCTCTCTTCCTCCTAAGAGCTCAAAGTAGTTCATAATAACTGCCTCAGTCATTGTCATGACATCTGTTTGGTAGATTTTGATAAAATTTCATAAAACGAGAAAATTTTTAGATTGGATTAGTCAGGGTTTGCTAAGCCGATATTTTTATAGTATTGAAATATGTGGTGTAGTAATGGGTTAAAAATGATGTAATTTGTAGAAAATGTTCTACTTTTTTCTGGTAAAAGCTTGGGTGGGAGTTGGTAATATTTCATTAGTATCAAAAGTAGATGTCAACATCAGATTTGTTTAGTGTTTGATTGTGGTCAGAAGTAACCAGCCAGTCATTTCAGGGTCTATGTCATCTGGTTTTTGGTCTTTTAGCAAAATTATGGTTTTCCTAATACTCTGTTTTTTAATATTCAAAGCAAAACTCTCAGGTAAGGGTATCTATGTAGATTGACGTAAATTATCCCATCTAGATATCAGGCTTAGTGGCTAATTCATCTTATGTGCCAAAAGTATGAGGATGTAGACTTCTGGGGCAAACCTTTTTTATTGTGCCATTTTCCAATGTTACCTCTTGCCACTAAGGTCATCCCCAGATTGTATTTGTTTTTATCTTGCATCTAAGCTCATTAAGGCTACCAAGATTTTTATAAGGAAATTGAGCATCAAGCTCTTCACACATGATATTTAGTGGCCTTTAAGAAGTGCTATGGTACTAAATAGAAGAATGGACAATTTTCTTTAGTTGACCATTGAATTCTTTTAAGGGCTACAACACTTTGAAAATGATTGATCTAGTAATCTTTAAAATATACAAAATTTTTTTCCTATTATAGCTCGTCCTCAATTATAGAAGAGTAAATAAAGTTTCCCTTGTTCAATCAGGAATTTTTCATCCATGTTTCTGAGAGAACTTTATCTTTCAAATTAATTTGAAAGTTACCTAGATGAAAATTTTTGTGTTTAGGAGAACAGATGAAAAATTAAATACTCTGTGCTTTAGGCATTAGTGTGAATTTCTTAACTGATGGAAGGTTCTGTGTTGAATTTTTCATCTTAAAGCTCAAGGAAAAGGTATTGAATGTTGAAGTAACGATTTATAAGATAGTAAGAAAATGTGTGCTCTAAAAGAGTTGACTGACTTGTATAAATATTTCCTTTTAAAAAGTTAATTCTGATAATGCATACACCAGTGTGTCCAAGGAGTAGTAAAAGGAACTACGTTTAATTGGATGTCATTTAATTGGATGTTAATCTGCTTTGTGAAGAACTGTAACTTTGAGTTTGCCAAGACCTCAAAGTATGCCTCTTAAGTACCTGAGGTTGCCTTCATAGAAATATTATTTGTTAGTGTAACTAGTTTTGCAAAGTCTAAACCAGCATCTTTTACATTGAGCTCATTAGAGACTCAAGAAAGAATAACAATAAAACGACACAGTTGAAATATATTGGCTACTGTGGTGTGGATTATCTATAAAGTTTTGGAATAAATGACTTTTCTATTTTTTTCTTATTTTCCAGAATACTTTGCATTTAAAATTTAGATCTTCTTACATGGAAGAGGTCAAATCCAGTTATAGCAAAACACCTTTACATCAGAGGCCACATAACCAAAATATCCAAAGGCCCAGCCCAGTGGACCATTTACTTCAGTGATGTTCAGTACCAAATTCCACTGCCACTAAAGACTTTGGAAAGTCCCCTTTTAAGTTGTAACAGGATTTGACTATTAGTGTGGATTTTGATAACCCTTCTTAATGTTAATTAAATGCTCTTTGAATCTAGAATTCATCATAGAGAAGTATCCTAGTTTCTTGGACCCTTAAATTTTTGACTGGGCTTTTATTTATAAGATTGTATTTTCTGAATATATTAGTATGTTACTGTCTTATTTGCCTGGGGTTGCCTTCAGATGTGGGTGGGAATTCATTTACAAAAAGTCATAGGAAGACCTTAAGTTAAAATAAGGTCTCAAATTTTCATGACTTTTGACTTTTGAGGCCTACAAGTGGTAAATAAATGGAGGTTGACTGCCTCTGCTTTGGCCCATCTATGAGCAGAGCAAAAAACATCGCCTTTTTGTGTGTGTGTGTGTGGGAGGTAGAGTTACTTTTTACCTAGTCTGCTAAATGAATCGATTATATTTAGGAATTTTGGTTTTAGCTATCTCACAGAATTCTTTAGTCTAAGAGAGAATCTTAGGCTTTTCAGTCAAAAGGGTTGGAATATTATCTGTTGCCCTTCCGGGCTTGCTTTGATGACCTCTATATAAGTAATGAGTGTAGCCTTATTTTCTGTCATGTGCTACCTAGCATATACATTTCTGACAGTCAGGTGGATTATCTTGAAATTTTAGACAAAGTTTCTGCCTCCTTGGAAAGCTCTACATCTCCTTGTGATTGGAGTGTGGGTTTCAAGATTCCAGAAGGTGGGTGTCTTCATTTTCTATTTTCAATGCACTCTAAGGTGACCTGCTTACAGGTTCTCTGAGGCAGACCTCAATTGCTCTTGTTCTAACTGCTTTTGTAAGGACTGAACAGTTAATTAATTAAATTTCCAAATGATGATGTAGAGTTGTCACAATGTTTACTAATCTTAAAACCACTACAAATTGACAGTTTAGTGGAATACATTTATTTTGAAATGTGAAATCATTCCATTTACATTGAAATAATCTGAAGGCACCTCTAAAATTGGGTGATGACACAGAGGAACATATCATAAGATTTAATTATGAATTGAGTGGGTGGAATATGGTAAAGAACACAGAAATGAATAAAAACATGACTGACTGGCTTTTTTTTTTTAACCTTTCAGAGTTTGAGATTTTATAAAGATTTATGAAAGTCGAATTGATCCTTGCTTTTGATTGCACACATCCAACTTTGTATATTGGTTTAATGGAATACGCTATTTTCTAGTCTATTCATTGTAATTTTAAGTAGAAAGTATTTGAAGTAGTCAAGCTAGGAATGTTAAAATGCTTTTTTTTACTGTATTAGTTCTCAATGTCCTTTGTCATTAGTTGTAGTTTTGCCAATGAAAACCAATTTGTTGATTTCTGTATGGCTCTTGGAAAGTGTAAAATATACTCATCTATAAAGTGGGTGATAACTGAGTTACTTAAAAGCTTAGAACTTTTTTGTAGGTGAACCAGAACTGGCACTTAAATGACCATAATCTATTATAATTTTAATTTTATTACTGTATCATATTAGAGTAATACTTGCTAGCTTGTTATAAACTTTATTTAAAGGTTTGGGTGTTTTTGTTTTTGTTTTTGTTTTGTGGGGATGGAGAGGTTTTTGCTATAGGGCATGTGTGCTCACCAGAAAGACAGAGGCAGAAAGTGAGAGGTCACCCCCCAGGGGGGATGGCCATGCCGCAATACCTTCTCCATTCTCCTCTCGGGATCTTGGGCATGCACACACACGCGCCCAGCGTGAGTTTAAGCCACTGGGTCCAGGACTTGAACCACAGTCAGCTACATGGGAATCCAGCGACATAGCCATTACGTTAACTGCTGGTCCCAAGGTTTGGGTTTTTTTTTTTTTTTTTTAAATCTACAGTAAGTTTCGTTTCTTATTAAAAGCTGTAGCTGACTCAGGAGATCATTGCAGCTCCTTATTCATAATGGATGATATCTCAAGTAGTTCTTCAGTTGCTGATTTCTATGGCACAGGTGCTATGTTTACCATACCTAGGAATACTTTTTACTTAAATGTGATAATGGGCTGTTTTATTAGAGTAAAAATACCAAAATAAGCTTAGAGGATAAAAGAAAAAAATTCCATAAAAAGGAAGTATGACGTGGTTGGCTGCTGAGCCAGCATGATAATGGTGTGGTTTTTTTCTTTTCAGGAGGAAAAAAAGCAAGAGCAGAAGTCGTAGTCATGAACGGAAGAGAAGCAAAAGTAAGGAACGGAAGCGAAGTAGAGATAGAGAAAGGAAAAAGAGCAAAAGCCGTGAAAGGAAGCGAAGTAGAAGCAAAGAAAGGAGACGGAGCCGCTCAAGAAGTCGAGATCGCAGATTCAGAGGCCGCTACAGAAGTCCTTAGTATGTAACTAAAATTATGTTTGGTTTGGGGGTCATTCTCTGATTATTTAGATAGCAGTTTAACTGCAGGGAATTGAAATGTGAAATTTTTTAATGGTTGGGTAAGAAGCATTTTAAGTTAAGGATACTGGCATTGAAGTTTAGTATAAAGTGAAAATATAGTACATGGACAAAGACAAAACTCTTGTCTTAATAGATCTACAGCTTATTTGTGGTTAGTCTAAAATATTTGTGCATCAGTTCAAACTAAAGCACTGAAGTATTTGGAGAAGAGAATCTTGCAGTGCTGAATATTTGAGAAGGCTTAGGAGTGTGTGAGCTATTACAATATTCTTATAAAGAACATACTTAAAAATTCGAAGGTTAGGTAAGTTACAATGAATAATTAGATATTAGTAAAAAATTCTGTCTGACTGTTTTTGGCAGAAATGACAGACCCTTTATGAATTGATTGTACATGCTTCTTGTCATTTCTTGGGCTCATCAAGCGAACACAGTTAAAATTCTTTTTTTGGGGAGAGGTTTTTGCTATAGGGCGCGTGCGCTCGCCAGACAGAGAGAGACATAGAGACAGAAAGCGAGAAATCACCCCCCAGGGGTGATGGTCACGCCGCAATCCCTTCTCCTCCATTTTCCTCTCGGGATCTTGGGCATGCACGCACACGCGCCCGGCATGAGTTTTAAGCCACCGGGTCCGGGACGCGAACCGTGGTCGACTACGTGGGAGTCCAGTGACATAGCCATTACGCTAACTGCTGGTTCCCTTAAAATTCTTTAATAACAAATAGTAAAGTATTCTAAACTAAAAGTGCTTTATAGATAAGTAGCTATAGAATTTGGAGGTGATTATTAAACAAATTCACAGCAAGTTTGTTATTACTCTCATTTATAGAATTTAACTATAAATGACTTTGGGAAAACAGAATTCTAAGCAAGGATCAAATCTAGTGGTTTTTTTCTTTTTTTGGAGAGGTTTTTGCCATAGGGCGCGTGCGCTTGCCTGACAGAGAGACAGGAAGCTGACAGAGACAGGAAGCGAGAAATCACCCCCCAGGGGGGATGGCCACGCCGCAATCCCTTTTCCTCCATTCTCTTCTCGGGATCTTGGTACGCACGCACACATGCCCTGCGTGAGTTTTAAGCCACCGGGTACGGGATGCGAACCGCGGTCGACTATGTGTAAGTCCAGCAACATAGACATTATGCTAACCGCTGGTCCCAAATCTAGTGGTTTTTTAATACTTTATGCTACTGCTTTTAGATCTTATTTTTTTCTTAATAGGAACACTACTATGAACATAGGGTAGTTAAAATGAATTCTTCTAATTGTAAAATTAGAATAGTTGAGGTTGGAATTCAAAGACTAATAGATGTGAAACAGAGCCATGGCTCTTAGACATGGGCAACTTACCCAGCCCTCTTAAGCTTTTGCTTTTTCATCTTTTAAGGAGTTAACTTGTAAACGAGGTGTTTTATTAATGAAAATGGAAGCATAGCACTTGGAATGTTAACTAGTTTGACATTTTTTGGTGTTTTAGTCATTTTGGAGTTAACACATTAAACTCTTATTCTGATTCTTCCTTAAATTACTTGAACACCTTGTTTTTCTAAGATCCATCTGTTTGTTTCATAAACTTTTTTAAGATCTGAAGATAAAACCACAATGCAATTTTAATCTTGAGTGCTATGTTAGAAAATTCTTCGGTTTTTGTCTAATTTATCAAAATTTAATTGCATTTTTAAAATGGGATTATGTTGAGTCTTTTTATGAGGATTCACTAATAGGTGATTACTGAAATAAATTCAGAATTCTATTATTTCTGTTGAATGATGAATACTTGGAAGTATGCCTGTGATTCAGGTCTAACTTTATTTTAAAAATTATTTAGTTACTGTGTTGGTTTTCAGGTGATTTTTTTAAGTGTAAAAGTTGTAACTAAGATTGTTTCATAATTAAAGGAGAAGGAAATAGTTCATAGCTTCTTTACTGAATTTCAGTTTATCCTATAAATGTATATTCATACTACTCTGAATCACAAAGGACCCATTTACTATTAAAAAATACTTTCTTGGAATCTGCTTAGAATGTTGCACGTAGGAAAAGTGATCACAAAAACGAATCCAAAAGTGGATCATAAGCTGCTGGACATTGGTTTCATTTTACTACCCTACTAGAATAGTATAGCAGGATGAGCACTAAGGGGCACCCATCTGGTCCCTTTAAGTTAAACTAGTTTGGTCAAGTTTGGTCATTAATTGTATTATAGAATAGTTACGTTCTGTGATCTGTTTGAAAACGTGTCATGTCTTCACAAAAAGTTTTCTCATAAGAATTGGTGAATTACCTTCACATCATTATTATGGAATGAATGCTTTGCAACAAAGAACTATAGTTTAATGCAATAAATGTACTGTCATTCCTCTATTTTTTAAAAAAGAGTTCAAATAAGAGAACATTTTATATCTTTATACACACAGAAATATGTGTGTATTCTAAAAGGATCTGCAAAAACACACACCAGGTCATTAATCAGTTACTGCTGGTGTGAGAGAAGTTCAGAAGAATGTATTTTCTCTGTGTGTGTGTGTGTGTGTGTGTGTGTGTGTGTGTGTGTGTATGTATGTATGTGTATTAAGTCTCAGGAATGTATTCAAAAAACGTAACTTTAAAAATGCATAATCTAAAAATAATTGTGAGCATTTTCAGAATCTAAATTTTGAGGCTGTAACCTTTGGTCTTGGCACCTTTCAGTGGTCCAGGATGGATAAATAAGGGCAGCTTGCCTGAAAGCGTTAAGAAAAATCTTTCTGTTTCCTCTTCATATTTGAGGTGGAAAAGAAGCAGCCTAAACAATGTTAAACTTGCTGGAGAGCGCATGAACGCAATCTTAGCAAGACCCTAAACCCGTAACTAGTGTAATTTTGTGTTTCCTTTTTAGCTCCGGACCAAAATTTAACAGTGCCATCCGAGGAAAGATTGGGTTGCCTCATAGCATCAAATTAAGGTTTTTAAACATACTTCTGAATTGTTTAAATTGTTTTTCAAGGAACTAATGTGTATGCTTGTTTGGTTAACTTCTGAAACTTCTTAACTTTGCAGCAGAAGACGTTCTCGAAGCAAAAGTCCATTCAGAAAAGACAAGAGCCCTGTGAGGTAGCTATTGTCCCAATTTCTTTTAAAACTTTTAACTTTTATATAGATTCTGTGATACTATTAAATTTAATGGCAGTGATTTGGGCCATATTAAATCTTGATTTTTTAATTTTGTGGTACTAGTACTTTTAAATTAGTTTGAATTTCTACTTAGTTTTTGTTGCTTTTAAATTTTATGTAATTAAAAAAAAGCAAAGATTACCATTTTAACGTATATACTGCATGTGATCTTAATTCTGTTAACTAAGTTTTGTTTTTAAGAGGTTTTTGCTATAAGGTGTGTGTGCGCTTGGGGAGAGACAGTGAGAAATCACCCTGCAGGGGGGATGGCTAAACCCTTATCCCTTCCTCTACATTCTTCTCTCAGGATGTTGGGCATGCGTACACACGGACCTGGCATGGGTCTCAACCTACTGGATCCGGGACTCGAACTGCGACTGGCCATATAGAAGTCCAGCACCTTAATTTCTATACCACTTGCTGGCTCCTATTAAGTAAAATTTTTTTCTTAAGAGAGAGGTGTTTTTGTTATAGGGTGATTGGCATGCCAGAAAGACAGAAACTGAAAAATCACCTTCCAGGGGGTAGGCCATGCTTGTAGTCCCTTTTCCTCCAGTCTCCTCAGAATTTTGGGCATGCATGTACATGGGCCCAGCTTGAATTTCAAGACAATCCAGGAGTGGAACCACAGTTAGCCATATAGAGTCCAGCAACGTAACCACTACTTCATTTGCTGGTCCCCTGTTAACTAAAGTTTTAACAGCTATAGAAATTTTATATCGACTTGACTTATTTACATTTGGAATTAATGAGTTACATGCAGTAGCCTCATGGGAAACAGTACTTGCAGTAATCACAAGTTTTACCATTTGTTTTTTTCTATGTGTGTATATATATAGAGAGAGAGAGAAAAAAGTACTTCATATCAAAAGTCGTAATGAATTAAATGGTTTTTATTCTCAATGTTCCTGAATGTAATCATGGATTATAACATAAGACTTAACTGTCCACTCTACCATTTTGATTCAGAGTCCCATTTTTGTCATTTCTGACTTCCCTTCAAGGGCACAGTTTACCTTAATTTTGCTATTTGTTGCATTCTTTGTAAGGGGTTTTTGATACAGGGTGCATGTGCTTAGGACAGAGACAAAGTGAGAATCCCCCTCACTCCCCCGCCAGGGGTGGCTGCACCATTAATCCATTCTCCTTTGAGGATCTTAGGCATGCATGTACATGGATTTGCTGTGACTTGAGATTTTTTTTTTTTTTTTTTTTTTGAGAGTTTTTTTTTTTTTTTTGCTTTGGGGGCACATGCACTTGCTAGTGAGACAGAGGGATAGATGGAAAGCAAAAATTTACCCCCTGGGGTGAGGCCCTACTCCATCCTCCTGGCTCTTGGGCACACATTCACACATGCCTAGCATGAGGTTTAAGCCACCAGGTGTAGGACTTGGAAGTCCAGCAGTGTAACCATTATGCCAGCTACTGGTCCCACCGGTGGCATGAGTTTTAATATACCGGGTTCAAGACTCACATTGCGGTCTACTATATGGGAGGTCTACTATATGGGAGTCCAGTAATGTAACCGTTATACCATCTGCTGGTCCCATGTTATTTGTTGCATTCTAATTAAACTGTAGTATTCAAGAATTTGGCAGAAATCGTAGCAATGTTTAAAATAGCTTTTATGTAGCACAATCAGATTTTTACTTTAAAAAAAAAACTATACATTTATTCATTCTTTCGTTTTTTTTGTTTTTTGTCTTTTGTTTTTTTTTTTAAGAATCCTTTAACTTCATTTATTTATTTAACAAGAGAGAGACAGAATGAGAAAATGAGAAAGCAAGCCACCAGATCCAGGACTTGAACCACTGTCAGCCATGTAGGAGACCAGCGCCCTTAACCACCATGCCACCTGCCGACCCCTCATTCATTTATTTTTAATTTGACTAGGAAGAGACACAGAAAGGGAGTGAGAAAGCAAGCCACCAGGCCCGGGGCTCAAACCCTGTTCAGCCATATGGAAGTGTCTAGCACCTCAACTACCACGCCACCTGCTGGTCACAGGATTTTACTTTTGATATTTTTTCTCTTATAAAATCCCCTTTTCTCATTCTTTGAATATAGTTCAGCTTTGTATCTGTTTTAACCATAATATATTTAAAATTATCTTTTGATTTCTTTTGTTCTTTTCAAGAGGTTTTTACTGTAAGGTGCACTTGCACTTGCCAGAGAAAGAGGCAGTGAGAGGGAAAGTGAGAAATCACCCCATGTGGGGATGGTCATACCATAATACCGTCTCTGTTCTGTTTGGCATGTACACACACGTACCTGCCATGATTTTCAAGCCACCATTTCAAGACTTGAACTGAAGTTAGCCATATGGAAGTCCAGCGACTTAGCCACTATGCCATCTGCTGGCCCCTTTTGATTTTTTAAAAAATCTTTAATTTGACCAGAGGGTACAGTGTGTGGGTGAGGAGAGGGGAGGGAGTGAGAAGGCAAGCAAGTTGCTAGGTCTGAGACTCAAGAACTGTAGTTGGCCATGCGTGAGTCCGGCGCCCTTAACCACACCTGCCAGACCTGTTTCTTCTGATTTCTTAAGGAGAACTATCAGCATTGTCCACCCTCCCTTCACTGAAAGTACTTTGAGTTAACATGAAAAGAATTTGCTTAGGCTTCCATTTTTAAAACCTTAACCTTCGTGGTATTTGTAACATGTAATGTTTATAGATACTTAATTTTTTTTTAATTTTTTAAAATTTTTTATTTTTCTGGAGAGGTTTTTGCTATAAGGCGCATGCGCTCGCCAGACAGAGAGAGAGATAGAAAGCGAGAAATCACCCCCCAGGGGAGATGGCCATGCTGCAATCCCTTCTCCATTCTCCTCTGGGGATCTTGGGCACGCACGCACACATGCCCGGCTTGAGTTTAAGCCGTCGGGTCCAGTACTTGAACCGCGGTCGACTACGTGGGAGTCCAGCACATAGCCATTATGCTAACTGCTGGTCCCTCGATACTTAATTTTTCTTCAAATGTATTGAAATTAAATTTTAAGACCATTCCTATAATCTAGTGAATGGAAGCTGGGACCCACATGACCATCTATCTGTAGGTTGAATTCTAACCTGGCTTGAAAAAATTGGAGTGTGTGTGCATTAGCCAAAACCATTACAAAATGAAGAGATGGAGAAGAGATTTGTGGTATTAATTTTTGGTTTTATCAGAGAGTGAGGTGGGGGTGGGGCTCCCGTGGCTTCTGGGGGAGCGAGAAAACCAGCTGAAAGGTCTTGTACTCAGACTGCAGTCAGCCATGGTAGGAATCTAGAACCACAACCACCTTGTCACATGCTGGTCTCAAGCCTGTGCTATCTTTAAAGCTTTTGTAAAAATGAATCAGGTGGATCTGGTATTGATACTTGCCTAGTTAATTTCCTGTTTTTAGTTTTTGATTAGGTTATAATTACTGTTTTGATGTTGGTTCTTGATGGTCAAGAAAAATTAATTCAGATACTAGATTTGTGGCATATTCGATCCAATTCAAATAAATAGTGTCAGTAATGAAAAAATCAGATGTTCTATATATATGTCATTGTGAAATAAAGTACAGTTTTAGTTTTTTGAGAAATTTTTGCTGTAGGTCATGTGTACTCGCCAGAGAGACAGAGACAGACAGTGGAAAATTGCCCCCAAGGGGGTATGGCAGTGCCACAGTTTCTTCTCCATTTTCCTCTCTGGATTTTGGGCATCCACCCTTAGGTGCCCGGTGTGAGTTTGAAGCCACCAGGTCTGGGACTTGAATCACATTTGTTTACATGGGAGTCCAGTGCATTAACCACTATGCTGCCTACTGGCCCATAAAATAGAATTCTTAGAGGACCAGTCTCTCACTTGGGCAACCTCAGTTGCAGTTCCAGATCTGGTGGACTTCTCAGTCTTTCTCTGGTGGGTGCATGTACCCTGTAGCAAATGAAAAAATAGTGGATGATATATAAAATATCTTTAAAAGGTAGAATTCGTGGGACCAGCAGATACTCAAATGGTTACATTACTGAATGCCTACATGGCTGACCATGGTTTATGTCCTGGACCTGGTAGCACACCCTGAGTGCATGTAGGCATGTGCAGAGTTCCAAGAAGACAATGGAGAAAAAGGGATTATGGCATGGCCATCATCCCGGGGGTGAGGGAGTGAATTTTCACTTCTTTCTCTCCATTGAGTACCCATGCCTTATAGCAAAAATCTCCCCTCCAGACTAGAATTCTTTTAATCAAATAGTTTTTACCATAGGATATTTTACTTTCAAGTTGATAATTTCTGATTATCAAACCTAATTCACTTCATTTTTGTCGTTTGGGGGTACCATCCATTATACTGATTTTCCCTCCTCCCCAAGGAGGGATAGCCATGCCACAATTCTTTTTGTTCTCTCTCCTCTTGGGATTTTGGGCATGCGTGCACATGCATTGTTTCAAGCCTCTGGATCTGAGACCCGAGCTCCAGTCTGCTATGTAGGTCTCTAGCACCTTAATCACTATGTCGGCTGCTGGCCCCAACAAACATGTTTTATCTATATATGTTTTTTCTATATATTACAGTGAGTTTTGAACAGGTCTTGCAGTTATGATTGGTCCAGAGATAGTTTGTATGAGTATCATTATAGTATCAAGGGTTATGATTGGCCCTTTATTTTCATAGAGAAATTATTTAGATGATTCCTGGCTCAGTGGACTTTGTCATGGTACTATATAAGATGTAATTAGAAGAAACATTTGGGGACCAGCAGTTGGTGTAATGGCTATGTTGCTGGACTCCCACGTAGTTGACCACAGTTCGAATCCCAGACCCAGTGGCTTAAACTCACGCCGGCCGCATGTGCGTGCATGCCCAAGATCCTGAGAAAAGAATGGAGGAGAAGGGATTGTGGCGTGGCCATCCCTTCAGGGGGTGATTTCTCACTTTCTGTCTGTCTTTCTGGCGAGTGCATGTGCCCTATAGCAAAAACCTCTCCGAATAAAAAGAGAAAAGAAACAGACATTTGTTACATATTCTTCTATTGAGGAAATTGATTCCTAACGAATTATTTTTTGGACATTGAGTTGAGTATAAATATTAATGAAAATGGCTTTCATACACAATTTTGATTCGGTTCACTGGAAATGTACATTTCAAAATTTTTAAAAAAATGTATAAAATCTTAACGTTTTTTTACTCCTATTAGGGAACCTATTGATAATCTAACTCCTGAAGAAAGAGATGCAAGAACAGTTTTCTGCATGCAGCTGGCAGCAAGAATTCGACCCAGGGATTTGGAAGAGTTTTTCTCCACAGTAGGAAAGGTAACCTCAGTCTCTTAAAGAGGTCAATGACATAGGTGGGAATTGTAGACATTTTAGGAATTCAGCATGGGGCTGGATCCATAGCCTAATAATAAGGGGTGTATCCCACGTGGTTGACCCCAGTTCCAGTCCTGGCTGGCTTGAAAAACATGCCAAGTACATGTGTGTATATGTTTCAAAATCTCATGATAGAGAAATGGAGGTGAAGTGTTTGGCGTGACCATTTTTTGCATTGCACCATGTGGCGATGTCACCTTTCCTCTAACAAGAATTGTCAATGTGTTGGGGCCGGCAGGTGCCATGGTGGTTAAGGGTGCTGGATTCCCACATGGCCAACCTTGAAAAAAAAGAAATTGTCGGGACCAGCAGGTGGCATGGTGGTTAAGGTGCTGGACACTCCCACATGGCCAACCATGGTTTAAGTCCCAGACTTGGTGGCTTGCTTTCTTACTTTCTCTCTCCCTCCCTCCCTCTCTGTCTGTCTCTGGTCAAATTAAAATGAATGAATGAATAAATAAAAAATTGAATAAATAATTCTTTTAAATTGTCATTAGAATACCTAAACACATTTTTTACTTGATATAGTGGTAGATTTGTTTTTGATAAGTTTGATTTTTGTATCATGTGGAAATTAATGCTGTTGAAGTTACCACACATTTATCAGAAGATACAGAAATGATACATAGAAATGATCCTATGCATTTGATTTTTTTCCTTTAAGAAAAATGGATGGTTTCATCATTAATGTGCCTCTTGGTTGTTTTTGAAATAATTATATTTACTTGGTTGAAATAATTACATATATATGGGTGTATAAACATCTCTTTTAAGTGTGTGTTTTATTTTTAGGTTCGTGATGTGAGGATGATTTCTGATAGAAATTCAAGACGTTCCAAGGGGATTGCTTATGTGGAGTTTGTTGACGTTAGCTCAGTGCCTCTAGCAATTGGATTAACGGGCCAACGAGTTTTGGGAGTGCCAATCATAGTACAGGCATCACAGGTAATTTTTTTCTTGGTTCAGAATTTGATCATTGATAGTGCTGGAAGCCACCCATAGATCAGTGTAGAGCTGATAGTGCTCTGTGCCTTATGTAGATGAATCACCACTGATTACTTTGAGTCAGATGTTCTCAGGATCATTTATTAGTTGGTATTTAATCTTGCCCTGATAACTTTGATAGGCTGCTTTTTCAATACCATTGTTTCATTTTTATATAAATTATAAATATTTGTTTCATGAAAAGACATGGGAACTCGGGTAGAAATGTCTAAGAATGTTTTTTAAATGGAGTGATTTCTATAACTTAATGTGTGCAATATTTTCACTTTGAAGATAGCAGGTATTTCCAAAAAAAATGGGAATTTTTTAATGAATTATTTAACTTCATTTATTTATGTATTAAGTTGACTAGCAAGGGACAGAGTGTGGGTGGGGGCAAGAAAGCAAGCCACCAGGTTTGGGATTTGAATTGTAGTTGGCCATGTCGGAGTCCAGTGCCCTTAACCACAACACTGACCTGTCAGCCCCCTGGGATTTTATTATTAAAGAATTTTATTTATTTTAATTTGACCAGAGAGCTACTGAGTGAGAAAGAGAAAGTGAAAAAGCAGGCTGTCAGGTCTGGGACCCAAACTGCAGTTTACTATGTGGCAGTCCAGTACCCTTAACCACTATGCGACCTGCTGCCGTTCTCTGAAAAATGGAATTTAATACAAGAATATTTTGTTGCCCTCCCCACCAATTGAAATCCATGCGAAGTTTCCTTATAATGTGAATTTTATATGAACATGTTGTTTTTCATATCCTATTATATACATTTGTATATTGCGTGTAATGTTAAAAGTAGTTGAACGTTTAAGCTGCTAGAAAGCATTTCTTGTAAGTGGTATAATACAGTCTAACTTGGAGAATATTATTAATTAATCCAGATTACAATTCTTTGCTGATATCCATAGTATTTGAGTATTGCTTCTGTAAAAATATAATTAAAATTATTGGGATGGGGCCAGCAGATGGCGGAGTGGTTATGTCTCTGGATATGCACATGATTGATCATGGTTTGAGTCCTAGACTCAGGCTTGAACCATGCTGGGCGTGTGTGCATGTGTGCTCAAGATCCCAGGAGGACAGAGTAAGAGAGAGAGAAGGAGAGAGAGAGAGACAGGGAAATTGAGAAAGCAAGCCACCAGATCTGGGTCTCAAACCGTGGTCAGCCATGTCTGAGTCCAGCGCCCTTAACCACCACTCCACCCGCCGGCCCTTAAACTGAATTTTTATGAACATCGTGCGATGTGCGTTTTTTCTTAACTTGTAGGCAGAAAAAAACAGAGCTGCAGCAATGGCAAACAACTTACAGAAGGGAAGTGCTGGACCTATGAGGCTTTATGTGGGCTCATTGCACTTTAACATAACTGAAGATATGCTTCGGGGGATATTTGAGCCTTTTGGAAGGGTAAGCCTAAGTTTTCCAAGGAATCTCTTGTACTTAATCTGCATGTAACTCTACATTGTTTTCTGTGTATTTACTCAGTTAAGTTAGTATGAGATGAATTATAAGAGGAAAGGGAATGGTAATGGTTCCTTTTGTTATAATTTAGATTAGAAGGTTATCCGAAAAGAATTATTTGAATATAGAGACGCTCCCTAAGTGTCATTAATAATCTCACACTAAAACACATAATGAGTATTAGAATCATGTTTTAAAAATGAATGTGGATTGGGACCAGCAGTTAGCATAACGGCTATGTCGCTGGACTCTCATGTAGGCGACTGCAGTTTGAGTACCGGAACTGGTGGCTTAAACTCACGCCAGGTACTGTGCATGCTGCGTGCCCACGATAATGAGAGGAACATGGAGGAGAAGGGATTGTGGTGTGGCGATCCCCCCTGGGGAGGTGATATCTCGCTTTCTGTTTCTCTGGCGAGTGCACGCACCCTATTTCAAAAACCTCAAAAAAAAAAAAGAATGTGGATTTATAAATGTGGAGTTGGAGCAAGAATCCATCCTGCAGTTTTTTTGAGGATTTTTTTTCTTACTGAAATTTTAGAAGTACTAATATAAAAAGCATACCTATTGGGACCAGCAGTTAGTGTAATGGCTATGTCGCTGGACTCCCATGTATTCAACTGCGGTTCACGTCCCGGACCCTGTGGCTTAAAACTCATGCCGGGCGTGTGTGTTTGCATGCCCAATACCCTGAGAGAGGAGAATGGAGGAGAGGGGATTGCGGCGTGGCCATCCTCCCTGGGGCGTGATTTCTCGCTTTCTGTCTCTATGTCTCTCTCTGTCTGTCTGGCGAGCGCACGCACCCTACAGTGAAAATCTCTCAAAAAAAAAAAAAAAGTATACCTACTAATCTATAAAACTTAGAAATTATAATATTTCTCTTTCTGTTCAATTATTACTTATTTTAGAATAGGCATTTTATTGTGGAATTAATGTTAACAGTATAGTAGTTTAAAAAGTACATTGTGTAGCCATAAAATGTGGTTCCTCTTGTACTTCATTGATTGCTTTTTTTTTTTTTTTTGAGAGATTTTCACTGTAGGGTGCGTGCGCTCGCCAGACAGACAGAGAGAGACATAGAGACAGAAAGCGAGAAATCACCCCCAGGGGGGATGGTCACGCCGCAATCCCTTCTCCTCCATTCTCCTCTCGGGATCTTGGGCACGCACGCACACGCGCCCGGCATGAGTTTTAAGCCACTGGGTCCGGGACACGAACCACGGTCGACTATGTGGGAGTCCAGCGACATAGATAGCCATTACGCTAACTGCTGGTTCCCCTCATTGATTGCTTTTTAATAACAGTAATAAGTTATTGAGATGTGGATGCTTTATTTATTGCATGTATATAAATAGTGCAGACATTATAGTGCAGGTTGCTTAGGTATTGTGAAATGAATACGCTCCTAAAGTGACCAAAGCATGGGTAAAATGGTCCTGTTTTATTTTTCATGCTTTCTCCATAATGGACATCTTAATTGGGATATTTTGATGTGATTTCCAAAACATGTGATTCACTCATAGATAAGAGTCTTGAACTCTGTGGTTTTAGTATATTTAGAGTTAGGAAATTATTGTCATATCTATTTTTAATTATTAGAACTTTTATTTCCATTTTACCATATTTGGTTTAATTGAGTTAATATTTGGCCTTTTTACCATATTGAAACAAAGACGTTGATTTTGTTTCTAACTCCTAATCATACTTTGTTTTCTTTTTTTTTGAGAATATTAAATTCCACTTTTTGTTATTTTTCAGTTTTAGGAGCAAAAGGGAAAGTGAGAGAGAAAGCTGCCAGGTTCAGGACTTGAACTACAATTGGCCATGTGGGAATCCAAAACTTTTAACATCCACACCCCATGCTGGCCCCTAGATTTTATTTATTCATTTATTTTATTTTGAAGAGCGATTTTTTTTTTTATTATTATTAAGTGCAGAGAAGCAGAGAAAGTGAAAAATCGCCCCTGAGGGCAAATGACCATGCCACAATTCTTCTCCTCTCACTCCTTTTGGGATTTCGGGAACCCATGCAGTCCTGAGTTTTAAGCCACCAGAACAGGAATTCGAACTCTTGTTGGTTATGTGAGAACCCAGCACATTAACCACTATGCCACCTGTTGGCCCTCCTGATTGCATTTTACAGAGGATTTCTGGTTGTTAGTGGCTTGTTTCTAATCAAAAGACAGTCTTGGTTCAACTTTTCCCTGTACTTTCCAGAGTGCAAATCTGTCTGGAAAGATTTGAGGCCTTTAAAGATCGAGAGTTTGTGATGAGTTTCTGGTTATTTTTCCTGTTTATTTTTTTGTTTTTTTTTTTTTTTTTCAAATAAAAAAGCCAGAAATAAAATTCTGTGACCCCTTCTTTGAGTGAAACATGCTGACTAATGCTTTTTAATTTTAGATTGAAAGTATCCAGCTCATGATGGATAGTGAAACAGGTCGATCAAAGGGGTATGGATTTATAACGGTAAGTAACAACTGTGAGCTTTTAATCTGATTTTTTTATCATAACAGATCTACTTGGACTGATTGTGGAGAAGTAATCATATTTTTTGCTACGTTAAATTATTTTGCATGGCTGGCATTTGCATAGTACTTAAGGTGCTTTAAGTCCCATATGGTTGATCACAGTTCAAGTCCCAGAGTGGTTGGCTTGCTTTCTGACTTTCCCTCTTTCTGTCTGTCTATGGTCAAATTAAAATAATAATTATGAGTAAAATTAAAATAATTCTTTTTTAAATTTAATTTTATTTATTCATTTATTTTTAGTTTGATTAGAGAGAGAAATGAGTGAGAAAGCAAGATGCCAGGTCTAAGATTTGAACCATAGTTGGTCATGTGGGATTGTCCAGCACCTTAACCACCACATCACCTGCTGGTCCCCAGAATAATTCTTGAAGAATTATGTTGCTGGACTCCCATGTAGTTGACCATTGTTCGAGTCCCAAACACAGTGACTTAAACTCAAGCCGGGTGCCTGTGCATGTGTTCCCAAGATGCCGAGAGGAGAATGGAGGAGCAGGGATTGCGGCATGGCCATCTCCCCCATGGGGTAATTTCTAGTTTTCTGTCTCTCTTTCTGTCTCCGTCTTTCTGGTGAGCGCATGTGCTGTATGGCAAAAACCTCTCCAAGAAAAAATTATTTTGCAGATAGTTGCCATTTTTAAGTTGTGTCTATCAAATCAGAAAGCTTGCTTTGTCATTTTCCTGTTATTTTGTACTACATTCAGTTTATTAAATATTTTTTAAAAACTATTTATTTGAATTCGATTTACTGTTACTATTTTAAATTTGATATAGGGAATATGCATTCATTAGAGAGAAAGCACGCCTCCATGTGCAGGACTTGAATCTTAATTGGCCATGTGGGAGTCCAGCATCTCAATCACCATGCCACCTGCTGGCCTCCAGTTTGTTAAATATTTGATTGATTGCTGGAGGACATGTTTACTTATTTTAGAGAGAGAGAGAAACCCTCTTAGCAAACATGGTTAACATTGTCTATTTCTCTTGTCAATTTCGGATGTGTGTGCTCAGAGGCTTATTATTATTATTTTTTTAAAGATTTACTTAATTCCCTATATTTATTGATTTGTCATAGGACACATGCACTCACCAGATAGAGATGGGGGTAGAGGGTGCCAGAAAGCATGTCCCCAGGTCTAGCAATTGAACTGTGGTTAGTATAAGTTGTGTGTGCTCCCCAAATAGGGAGGTGTTTGTATATGGTGGAAAATCACCCTCACGAGAAGGGATACTGCCATACTTTCATGTCCATTCTTCCCTTAATATTTTGGGCACACACCATTAGGTGCCCACTGTATTTTTTCAGGTTATTGAGTCCATGATTTAAACTGTGGTGTTGGCTGTGTGGGGTATAATACCTTAACCTCCACGTCACCTGCTGACTCCCATTTTCTGTTTTACAGCTACTCTGCAGTTCTTATCTCAATCACAATATTATTATTAAAGAATTCTTTTATTTTTAAAAATTATTTTACTTTATTTTAATTTGACCAGAGAGAGAGAAAGAAAGTGAGAACGCATGCCACCAGGTCTAGGACTTGAACTGTGGCAGGCCATGTGGAAGTGTCTAGCACCTTAATCATCAGGCCATCTGCTGGTCCCCAATAACAAAATTATTTTTAAAGACTGAGACAGTATAACACACATTTAAGATATGGAACAGGTGGGAATATGTTTTTTGTTGGTGGTGCTTGCACTCGCCAGATAGAGACAAACAGAAAGCAAGAAATCACCTTCCATGGGGGGATGGCCACGCTTCCCTCCCTTTTCCTCCGTTCCCCTCTCGGGATCTTGGGCACACATGCACATGTGCCTAGCATGAGCTTTACACCACCAGGTCCAGGACGCGAACCGCAGTCAACTACATGGGGTCCAGCAACAAAGCCATTATGCTAACTGCTGGTCCTGGTGCTTTATTTTTATTATAACTGCCACATCACATTTAATTTAGTTGTATTATAAATGGAAACTTTGTACTTTTTTGTTTGTCTAATAGGGTTATTGAATAAAATGGACACTTGTATTGACTGTGAGAGGGAAATAGAGGGATAGATGTGGTATGGTTTATCAGTGTTAATTTTGTTGCTAATAAAATTGAAACTTGGGAACCAGCAGTTAGCGTAATGGCTATGTCGCTGGACTCCCACGTAGTCGACCGCGGTTCGTGTCCCGGACCCGGTGGCTTAAAACTCACGCTGGGCACGTGTGCGTGCGTGCCCAAGATCCCGGGAGGAGAATGGAGGAGAAGGGATTGCGGCGTGACCATCCCCCCTGGGGGGTGATTTCTCGCTTTTTGTCTCTATGTCTCTCTCTGTCTGTCTGGCGAGCACATGCGCCCTATAGTGGGAAAAAAAAAAAAAAATTGAAACTGGCATTTACAATAATGGAGGTTTAGTCAGCTCTTTTTTTGGCAGTTCAAGCAGGGACACCTCTGATGCAGTTCTCTGCATCAGAAAATGGTGGATGTCGTGAGAGAATGTTTGTTTGTTTACTTAAATTATTTTATTTAACTTTATTACTTTAACCAGAGAGGGACAGACAGACAGGGAAAGTGAGCTGATAGGTCCAGGACTCAAACCAAACTCAGCTGTATTGGAGGTCCGGTGCCCTTAACCACCTTGCCACTTGGCCCCAGAGCAAATGTTTATCGTTCTGTATGTGTGGGTCCTGCCTTAATGACTTTAATGTATGTTTTTCGGAGTCCCACTTTTTGATAGCCTAATTGAGTTGAGTTTTTTACCTTTTTAATCCTATTGTATTCGGTCCATCACATGAATTGGGGGGACAGGCATATTAGAACTATAGCAACATAGTCTTAACCATGTCGTGATATTACTGTAATCCCAGTTACCTTCGATTATATTAGGTAAATGTATAAGACTAATGTACTATACATTTCCTGCCTCCCAATTATGTAGTTCTCTGACTCTGAATGTGCCAAAAAGGCTTTGGAACAGCTTAATGGATTCGAACTAGCAGGAAGGCCAATGAAAGTTGGTCATGTTACTGAACGAACTGACGCTTCCAGTGCTAGTTCATTTTTGGACAGTGATGAACTGGAAAGGACTGGAATTGACTTGGGAACAACTGGTCGTCTACAATTAATGGCAAGACTTGCAGAAGGTGAGTTTTTTTTAACTTGAGTAACTTGTGGTGCGAGTATAGTTTGTTAATGAAGTGAAAGGTTACCATGCAAAAGTAAAAACTAGAGAAAGGCTTTTTTTTAAATATAGAACTATTTTGATTTTTATTTAATTAAAAAAAATTTTTTTTGAGAGGTTTTTGCTATAGGACATGTGCGCTCGCCAGAGACAGAGGGACAGAAAGCAAGAGATCACCCCCCAGGGGGGATGGCCACGTTGCAATCCCTTCTTCATTCTCATCTCAAGATCTTGGCACGCATGCACACGCACCCGGCGTGAGTTTAAGCCACCAGGTCCGGGACTCGAACTGTGGTTGACTACATGGGAGTTCAGCGACATAGCCATTACGCTAACTGCTAGTCCTTGTTTGTTTAAATTTGACCAGAGACGGACAGAGTGAATGACAGAGAGAAAGATGGGAAGTGGGAAAGCAAGCCACCAGGTCCAGGACTCGAATGGTGGTAGGCTGTGTGGTAGTCCATTGCCCTTAACCACCATGCCACTTACTCGCTCATGCTATTTCTTATTTTGGAGTTGGTGTTATCCTTTTGCCACATATGTAGTTTCATAGTGCTTTGTATTAAATTTGTAGTGGAACCTTTAGTATCATGCATTTTAAGTACCACAGCAGTAAGTTATAATGGGACCAACGGTTAGCAGAATGGTTATGTCACTGGACTCCCATATAGCCAACCGCATTTCGAGTCCTGGACACAGAGGTTTAAACTCAGGCCGGGCGTGTGTATGTGCGTGCCCAAGATCCCGAGAGGAGAATGGAGGATAAGGGATTACAGCGTGGCCATCCCCCTTGAGGGGTGATTTCTGGTTTTCTGTCTCCCTGTCTCTGTCTTTTTGGCGATCGCATGCACCCTATAGAAAAAAAGTCTCTAAAAAAAAAAACAAACGACTTGGGGGAAAAAAAAAAAGACTTGGTTTGTACACTTATATCCCTGTGGTTAGAAATAAATGTAGTGACAGCTGTTATACCTTGTCCTCTCTAGTGAAGTGACTGTAGCAGTAAGCACCCAGAAAACTTGTTTTCTGTGCTCTTAACATAGTAAAAGATCCATTTTATTTACAGGTACAGGTTTGCAGATTCCACCAGCGGCACAGCAAGCTCTACAAATGAGTGGTTCTTTGGCATTTGGTGCTGTGGCAGGTAGGAATTGAATCTTTTCTAATTTGAAATCATTGTTTTTCATCTAATTCGAAAATTTACCAAATTTTTGCATTTAAAAGGACTCATTGAGAATTCAATTCATCAAGTACTTTTAGACTAAGTTTCTAGAATTAATGTGACAAAGTAGAAATAGCAGAACTGCTCATTTTTAATGAGAATAAGCAGTCAGAATATTTTTAAACCTTGTAGTATGCCAATTTCTAGTTGAAATTAACTTAATTTTAGACTTTTAAATGTTTCACGGAGTTCCATAAATTAATAGAGTCCTTAAAACAAGCTTTCTATAAAAAAAAAAAAATGGTTGTGCCAGAGTTTAGAGAAAACTGCTTTCCACAATAGATACAAATTTAGCATTGGAGAATTAAAGGTCTTTGAGAGAGAATAGCATATGGAGGTTAGGGGGATTGACAGTTTGTTACATTTATGCCACAACATGTCATTCATTTCATGAAACATTGTTTTGCCCTTGTTTATGGCATAATTAAATCATCTAAAATTTGCTTTTATGAAACTTAGCATTGACCCCAAGGTAGGAGATAGGATAAGATTAAAGACATGCTTCTAGTTTGTTTGAGGAACCATTTGATTTTTGGATCTTGCATAATAGGAAACTTTACCCCTAAAATGTATGGCAATTTCTATTTGCAAAGTCAGACTTGGTAACTGAGAAGATAGACAATACCTATGGTACTACATCTAAATCTGTAAAAAGGCCCTTATGTTTACTTTATTATTTCCTTTTAGATTAAAAGTTCATTAATTTAAGGAGAAGATTACTTCTGGTTTATATTATTTAGAGAGAAGTCATTCATTGTCTTAGTTGTTATCCAAAGTATGCGAGTACTGTTAGAAAACTTGCCTTTGTTTTGTTGTTCTATTACTTGTCTTTAAATGTGATAGGGAACTTTTCTACAGAATTCCAGATAACCGTGCCAGTATATCTTTATTAGAAAAAAAAAATCATAATCAGGACTGGCAGGTGGCATGGTGGTTGAAGACACTGGATTCCCACATGGCTGACCTTGGTTCAAATCCTGGACCTGGCAGCTTGCTTTCTCCCTTCCCCTCTGTCTCTCTCTCTCTCTGTCTTTCTCTGGTCAAATTACAAAATAATAATAAAAGGTGGAAATAAATTTTTTTTTAAAAAGAAGAAAAATCATTATAATTGAGACATTTCTGTTTTTAAGTCTTTTCTCAGAAGAGAAAAGACATAAACTCGTTTATTTCGTTTTGATTAATTGTCAGTGATCACGTGTGCACTCTCTAGAGGCACACAGACAGTACAAAAACACCCCGTAATGGGGCATGGTCATGCTGCAATCTCTTCCATTTCTTTCTCTCATCCGGAGTTTGGGCTTGCACCCACATGCCCCTGGCATGTTTCCCAAATCTCACTCAGCCATCTATATGACCCTCTTAGCAGCTAGGTTCTGGGCGGCCCAGATAGTTTTTTAGGTTTTTGCCATAGCCATGCGTGCTTATTAGAGATAGAAGAAAAGTGAGAAATCACACATAGAGGATAAAAGCAATGCTGCAGTCCCTTTTCCATTTTCCTCCTGCAGTTTTGGGCATTCTCATTCCCCCAGTGTGATTTACAAGCGGCCTGGTCTTAGACTTAATTGTAGTCAGCCATGTGAGAGTTCAACACGTTAACCACTTTGCCACCTGCTAGTCTCCAAGATAGTTATTTTGGACCATGTCTTGTTATACTGCCTTACTTCTGTGTCATTTTCCCAGTTAGGTAGGAACTATAGGCATATATCATCTTGCATAGCCTGTTTTAAGGTTTCCATGTATGAAACCCATGTCTTAATGTGACCCCTTGCGCAGCACTGCCTGTTCTACTTAATGGAGCCTTTAGTAGTCATTTGATTACTCCAAGTAACTTAAGTCATTCCTTTTGTTTTTTATTTTGACTTTAAAAGTAAGTACTATATTAGTCATTTCATCTTTTACAATAAATAGAATACCACGTACTTGACTAGTATTTTTATTTCTTTTGAGTCATTGCCAAAATTATTTCATTTTTAAGAGGTTTTTGCCTTATGGTGTGTGCTCGCCAGAGAGACAAGGACAATGAAAGGGAATGGGAGAAATCATCCCCCAGATGTATGGCCATACCACAATCTCTTGTCCAGGAATCTTGGACATGCATGCACATGCGCCTGGTGTGAGTTTTAGGCCACCAGATCTGAGGCTCAAACTGTGGTCAGCCAGGTGGGAGTCCAGCAACATAATCGCTATGTCATCTGCTGGCCTCCAGAATTCTTTTGTTTGTTTTGTTTAATGTCCAAAAGACCTGTGTTATTACTAGAGAGACAGAAAGTGAGAAATCACATACACAAACACACACAGGGACGGTGATAGTGGCCATACTGCAATCCCTTCTCTATTCTTGAATTTGGGCTCACGTGCAAATGTGCCTGGCATAATTTTCAATCTACTCGGTCTGGGACGCAAACCACGTTTGCATTTTAACCACTATGTCACCTGCCAGCCCCCTCCTGTTTGAATTTCCCTTAAAGAATTATTTTAGTTTTATTTTATTATTTTTAATTTGACCATAGAGAGGGAAAGTAAGAAAGCAAGCTGCCAGGTCTAAGTTAAATTGTAGTCTACCACGTGGGAGTCCAGCACTGTAACCAGCACGCCACATGCTGTCCCTCCATTTTGGCTTTGAGTGTATTCAGATGGTAGGTTTTTCAATCTGTCGTGTTCTGTATTGCAGTTGGCTATGTGGGATCTGGCTATCTTAAACGAGCATGCCACAAGCTGACTCTAGTTGTATTGAAGTCAAGTTTTTTATTCACTCATTCATAAATACAGAGCATATATAAACAGACATGCAGGATCACAGGCATGTGTGGGCCACATCCTGTATGTTCACATTGATCCAAGATCCAAACTCAGGCTTCCTATGCTTATATACCTTATTATGGTTTGAAAGTTACTTTATTGAAAGCCTTCCCATTATTCAGAGTATTTGATTGATATTGTTTGATGGATAACGATATTTTAGCTATTCCACTAGAAAAAGGTCAAAAAATTTGTTTCATCAGGTAGCTATTGCAGTGCTGTAGGACTCTTTTTTTTATTTTTTAAGAGATTTTTGCCATAGGGCGCATGTGCTCACCTGAAAGACAGACTCTGACAGAAATCGAGAAGTCATGCCCCGTGAGGATGGCCTTACCATAATCCCTTGTCCTCCATTCTCCTCTCGGGATCTTGGGTACACATGCACACACATGCGCCTGGTCCCAAGCCACTGGGTCCAGGACTTACTTGATCTGTGATCGACTGTATGGGAATCCAGTGACATAGCCATTAGACCAAATGCTGGTCCCTAAATGAAATAATTCTTTAAAAAAAAAAGAAAAAAAAAAAACAATAAAACAAAAAACCTCTAGACCTATGGACATATATAAGAGACTTCTATTTCCAACTTTATTGATTTATTTTAATATGACCAGAGAGGAACAGAGAGAGAGAGAGAAAGTGAGAAAGCAAGGTACTAGGTCCAGGACTCAAAATTCAGTCAGCCATGTAGGAGTATAGCATCCTTAACCACAGTGCAACCTGCGAATCCCCAACCTTGTCCTTTTTTTTCTTTCGGAGAGGTTTTTGCTATAGGGCGCGTGCGCCTGCCAGACAGAGATACAAAGCAAGAAATCACCCCCGGGGCGGGGGGGATGGCCACACCGCAGCCCCTTCTCCATTCTCTTGGGATCTTGAACACGCACGCACACGTGCCCGGCGTAAGTTTTAAGCCACTGGGTCCGGGACATGAACCACAGTCGCCTACATTGGAGTTTAGATGAGTTGAAAGATTAATTTTGTTTTCAGGTCCAGGTCTCAAACTGCTGTTGGCCATGTGAGAGTCCAGCACCTTTAACCACCATGCCACCTACTGGTCCCATCATTAAAGTTTTACATTTGCTTTTTTGAATTAAGTTATTTAGTGCTTACTTTGAGGCTCTTGGTCTGTTCTTTAAAGCTCTTGCTTGAACCCAGTGACTGGTCATCACTATGTCCACATTTCTTTGTTCTACTAGTTTCATGGGCCTTTCTGACATAGTCTTTATCTTTGTGAAATCCATGCTTTTTTCCCTGATGTGTCAAACATAACTCAAAATCGTTCTTGGAATTTATGATTGGGATTTATATACACTAGAAATAGCATAGATTTCTGATATCTATACATTTTTTCCTGTTTTAGGATAATAAAAGACAAATTGTGTTATAATTTAAAGTTTATTGACAGTGTTCCTATGGTCATATCTTCAAGTTCCTTCACTATACACCAGTTACATTTCTTCAGCTACCTGAGATGCCAGTATTGAGCACCTAGGACCCAGGTAGTATATCCCAGTATAACTTGGGGTACAGATCTCTTTTATATTTTTACCCATGTTTTACTGTTTTCTGTTCCCAGCAAGAAACCCATTTATGGTAATAAAATGTTAGAGTTGAATAACATTTTAGTGAAAGGTCGACTATTTTATCTAAATAAATTTTGTGATGTGTATATATTAACATAGTTTTGCAGCACTGTGACATTTTCTTAATATTTAGACTTGCTGCTTTTTCCTTCTCTCGCAGCTTTTTGTTTGTATTAAAGTTTTTGCCGTAAGGTGTGTGTGTGTGTGAGACAGAGACAGTGAGAGGAAAAGTGAGAAATGACCTCCCTCGGTGGATGGCCACACTGCAATCCCTTCTCTGTTCTCCTGGGATTTTGGGTCTACCTGCACATGAGCCTCCCATGTTTCTAACCGCACTGGGTGTGGGACTTGAACCATACTCGCCCATGGAGTTTCAACGCCTTAACCAACTCACCACCTGTTGGCCCATCAGCTTTCTTTTACTGTAGACATGCGAACAGTTAAGCTGAAATATACTCATAGGAATCCTTACAATTATTTTTTAAAGTGATTAAATGTGTTTTTCTTACACTTCTTAGTAAGAAAATCTTACCTTACTACATTTTCAGATTAGGACAGGAAACCTTAACATTACTCATATGGTCACCTATTGGCTAGACTTCATACTAAAATCTTAATGGACCTAAAAAAGTTCAATTTACATATTAATGGAATGGTCTTTTTCCCAAAGGTGACATTCCTACCAAATTTGGAGATCATTGAACATTGTTTATAGCTTTTTATGTGTATTGTTAATAGTATTGTTGAGTGTCTACATTTTTATTATTACCCTTTATAATACTAAATGCTTACTGCTACTGATAAATACTTGAATTTCCCAAGTACTTGGAATTGAATTCTCAAGATCAGGGTTTTTCATATATTTTCTGACTGGTGTGCTTCCCTTTCCCCATTTCCCATTATTCCCAACCAAAGAGTGGTAGAGTGGAATGCATTTGAGGTGAAGGATAGTAGTAGGAATAGGAAAAGAGAGGCATAAGTAGGTTTCCTAGGGTAAAAGGCAAAAAAAAAAAAAAAGGCCCCAAAGCCTTGTCCATGAGGAATGGGGAAGGAGGTTTTGCTGCCAGGTTTTACTAAATAAGTTCACTTTAATAAACCCTGCTGATGTAGTCCTCTTTTATTAATGCTTTCCTGACATTTACCCTGTTAGTTGAGGCTCTTCATTGTTCCTGCACTGAGCTGTAGAATTCTCTTTTGTTATAGATTTGCAAACAAGACTTTCCCAACAGACTGAAGGTGAGTTGAACTGTTTATACTTTTGTTTTTGAAGTAAAGTTAAACGTAGTAAGATATAGTTTATATTGCTTTAAAATCATAATATTTTGGACTTATTTTTTACATGGTAGCACATGGTGGTATATAAATAGGAAATTGTCTGTATTCCAGAAGACTGAACCAAAGTCATTAATAGACGAAAAAATGAAAATTTCCATGCCTTTTTTTTTTTTTTTTTTTTTGCTTTAGCTTAAAATTTTCAGCCTTATTTTCACTTGATGTTTGTGTTTTCCAAAACAGGTTCTATATGGAGGTCAGAAAAAGGAATGTGCTCTTAATTGGCATTTTTAAAATATTATTTAAGTTTTTATTTATTCACTTATTTTAATTTGACCAGAAAGAGATACGGAGAGAGAGAGGGAGATAGCAGCCACCAGGTCCAAGACTTGAACCATGGTTGTCCATGTGGGATTATTCAGCTCCTTAACTACCAGGCTACCTGCTAATCCCCTTAATTGACATTTTAATGTGTCTTTCACAATATGTAATGTGTGAGTGACCAAATTTTATTAAGATTAGGAATAACAGTGCAAAAGTGAACATTTGTTGTTTAAAAGTAGAACTCTGATTTCAGTGATTTGTGTAATCTAGTAGCAAGCAGTGATCATTGGTTTACAGAGAATGTAAATTGCATGCACATTACATGGATTGAAACAGTTTATAAAATAGCCTGTGATTTGTTTTTAATTATAATAAGATCTTTGTCATTTAACAGATAAGAGCATTTTTGCTGTTTGGCAAATTAGCCACTTTTACAGGGATATGCTTAAAAGTTTAGAGAAATTATTGTTTATGAAAAAGATCTTCTGTGTTCTTTTATGGTCAAGAATTAAATGCATGTTTTAATTATTCCAGCAAATTAGAAAGTTTCTTTTTTTTAAATGACCCATTTGTTAACGTTTAAAAAGTAGAAATAGTGAATTTTCCTATTTTGATTGTTTTCTTTATTGATCTGTGTTGAACTGGAATTTTTCTATAGTACATATTCTTAATCCACAGTAGCTTTTCACATGAGTTATTTTAGCATTTTTGTTTTGATTTAAAGTAAAGTTTTATGAAAGAAAAACACCTTTTTCATTTGAGGAATACAGAGAAGCAAAAAGCTTCACTATTTAACTTCAAAACTAAGTTATGAAAAAAATACTTGTTCGTTGAATGAAAATAAACTAGAATTTATTTTACAAAATTTTTATGATCTATTTCATGTATATCTGTAATTTTAGTTTCATGAAATATTTCTGATACCTCCTTGAGTGATTGTTCTTTTTAATTCTATAATTTCTAATGCATTGTTTTATCCTTAGCTTTGTTTATTATTATGTATTGGAATGAAATTTGGTCAGATAATATGATTACGGTGAGTTTTGTAACAGCCATCATTTTTTTATGAATCACAAAACATTGGAGCACAAATGTCTTTGAAAATGCTCTAATTTAAAAAAAAAATGCTCAATTTTCTAATTTAAAATCTGCTTTTAAAATTATACCATTATACTGTCCAGATTTTAGTTTTGCTTAAAGGACTTGTGTGCTTTCCAGAGAGAGAAAGTGACAAATCATCCCTCATTGGGATGCTCATACCACAGTCCCTCCTCATCCATTCTTCTCTCAGGATCTTGGGTGGGCATACCTTCAGGGTGTTCTGTTCTTTTTTAAATGAGGTTTTTGTCTTAGAGCATGTGTACTTGCCTGAGACAGACAGGCAGTGAGATGGAAAGTGAGAAATCACCCTGTAGTGGGGGGTTGGTGTCCTTCCTTCTCCTGGGATTGTCAGCATACCCGCACATGCTCAGTGCAGTTTTAAAGCCACCAGGTCCAGGATTCGAATTATGTTTAACCATGTGGGAGTCTGGCAACATAACTACTACATCCACTGTACGCTGGTCCTCATATGCCATGATTTTCAAAGCAGTAGTTCCAGGACTCAACCATGCAGTTGGCCATGTGGGATCTAGCACCTTTGCCTTAACTTTCTCGCGACCTGCTGTCGAAAAAGTTTTAAATTGTAATGCATATGATAGCTATCTCCTACTCATTTAAATGTTTCATCTATTTTGCTAAAACAGTCTTTATTTGGAGAAGTCCCAGATACAGGGTGCATGCCCTTGGCAGAAAGCGAGAAATCACCCCACAGGGGGGGTGGCCACGCAGCATTCCCTTTTCCTCCATTCTCCTCCAGGGATCTTGGGCACGTATGCATGCACACACATGCGACCGCACCCTACCTGAGTTTAAGCCACAGGGTCTGGGATACAAACCGCAGTCAACTACATGGGAGTCCAGAGACATAGCCATTATGCCAATTGCTGGTCCCCAGACCATCCTTTTAGTAGTAGGAGTAGTAGTAGTTGTTGTTTAAAAAATTTTGTCAGAGTGCTTGTTCATTAGAGGGCAAAGGAAAGAGAAAGAGAGGAAGTGCCCCTTAATGGGACTTTGTCACACCACATTCCTTTCTCATCCATTTCTCTATCTTGGGATCTGAGGCACTCAACACACTTGTACATGGCTTGTATTTCATTTCTCATTCACATGAGATGCAATTTGAACTGCTGTCTGCCATGTAGGATCCAACTTCTTGCATACAGTGCTTTAACAGCTGTGATATGGGAGCCCACCTCAGTGTTGGGTTTTTAAATTATTATTATTTTGTGTTTATTTATTCATTTATTTAATTTTATTTGACCAGAGAGGGAAAGTGAAAGAGCAAGCCACCAGGTCTGGGACTCAAACTCCTGATGGTCATGTGAGAGTCCAGCACTTTATTATGCCCCCTGCTAATTCCCCAATTTTGGCTTTTTTTGGTGTTAATTTCATAATACTTTTTTTTCCCCCTAGGATATTAAATCTTCAGTGACTTTATCTTAAGTACCTAACCTTTTTATTTTAGTTTGTAGTGAGGGGTGTGTGTGTGTGTGTGTGTGTGTGTGCACAGGCCCCTCATCAGAGAGAAACGGGGAAGTGAGAAATGACAGCATTAGCCATGCTGTCATTCTCTTTGGGATTTTGACATGCCATATGCACTTGAGTGTTTTTCATGCTGCAAAGACCTTGTTAATTCATGTGGAGTACAGCTTCCTTAAACACCATGACACCAGCTGGACCTGGAACCAAATTAACAGTATAGATTTGGGGAAATGCATATTTATTAAATGTATAAATTTTGGGGGAAAAAAACTTTGAGCAGAAAGTTAAGAAAAACAAATGGGTGTAGATTTTGTTGACATTTGAAAGCATTGTGTTTTTATCATCCCCATCTTTTCAGAGTTCAGGATGTAAACTACAGCAGCTCTAAAAAATCAATCTCTGTGTTATTCTTTGACTGTCTGGATTGATTTGTATTGATATTTTTGCCTCCTTGAATAAATTTGAGACCTAGAGCTTAATTTTCTTTTCTAAAATTTTGGAATTCTTTCAAATATTAGTCGCCTTTATTTTCTGGCAACTAATATAGGGTAATAATGATACATACTTTGGTAAAAAGTATTAAAATAAATTAGTAAAATAAGTTACTAACTACTCTAGTTACACATTTGGGATGCATTTTCTGGTATTTTATTTATCAGGGGTATTCAGTGCATTTTCTGTGAAACTAATTTCTTTCTCTTTTTTTTTCAGCTTCAGCTTTAGCTGCAGCTGCCTCTGTTCAGCCACTTGCCACACAATGTTTCCAACTGTCTAATATGTTTAATCCTCAAACGTAAGTAACACACATAGGTTGAGTTCAAAACTGTATTGTCAAAGCTCATTATACTCAATTTTCTAATTTAACATTTTACAGAATTTTCATAGATTTTTATCATTGAAATAGTGGAACAACTTCTGGTTCTTTTAACATAGTTTTTATGTAAGTTGCTAATTATTCTAATATATTTTTAAGATTGTGATAAAATCAAAAGATGTAAATTTTGTGTTCTGTTTATGTAGTTTTCACTGAAGTTGGTATCAGTGCTTATTTTTATGATAATTTTTTTATCAGTTTTTGGCTCTCGGATATTAAGCTTTGTCAAGTGAATTATTTAAAAAGTATAGTAAGTCTTGCTTTGTCTACATGACATATGTTCCAGTGGATACATAAAACTAGGTAGTACCGAATATATATTGTTAATTCTTATTCATATTTTAGTTTTGATACATGTTAATTGATCACCCATAGTTATGAAATTGACAACAGTAATGAAGTTGAACAATTTAAAGAATAAATATAATTAAAATGTTTATGTGCTCTCTCTGAAAATACCATTAAACTATAATGTGTAGTAACTGAAACTTGGCATAAATAGGGATTTTGATATTTTTCTTAATTAGTGCATGATTTGAATTAGCAGTGTTACCCAGTGCTCAGTCAGTGATTAGAATAACATGTATTAATCCAAAATAAGTCATTTTTATAATATATTAAATGTGACTTAAATGTAGTTTTGCATTTGGTTAATTTTATTTTTATATTAGTTTATGATTTGCTGTAGGAAGAGCCTTGGATTTTTGTGTTCTCTCAGCACCAAATATCTTCATTTCAGCTTTATATGTGAATGGTGACAAACTATATTAAATAATTTGAAAGATAGGTAGTAAACTATTAAAATTTTAATCTTGAATAGTAGAAATTCGTAAACTAGGTTGAAAACAATGTGTCATGTTTCCTTTTCCTCTGATTTCCCCAATTGTTCTTTGACATAAGTAACTTAAAATTCAAAGAATGCATTTTTAAAATATTTCTAATAGCATTTGAGTATTTATGTTATATTGATTTTTGAATAGTGTTTAAGAGGGCCTAATACTTTTTCTTACAGAGAAGAAGAAGTTGGATGGGATACAGAGATTAAGGATGATGTGATTGAAGAATGTAATAAACATGGAGGTGTTATTCATATTTATGTTGACAAAAATTCAGCTCAGGTATTTATTCTTAATAAATTAAGTTAGGATGTTTTCATTGTGCTTTAATTTTCACACATACTTGGGTCATGTTGTGGTCACTATGTTCCATTAGGTTTTTTTTTTGTTTGTTTGTTTGTTTTAAAGAAGAGTTTTAACATGCTGTCCAAAACTTCCCTCTTCTTAAAAAAATTTTTTTAAAATAATTGAAAAATTTGACCATGGTGTCATAGATCAGTTGCTGGCAATATTCAAAGCTTGTTCTGAAGTCCTGGCATCTTCATAAACTTTTTATTATTTTTTTTAAGATTTTTAAAATTTATTTTAAAGAACTATTTAACTTTTTTTTTTTTTTTTTGGGAGGGTTTTTCCTTATAGGGCTGTGGCCCTTCGCCAGAAAGACAGAGACAGAGACAGAGACAGAGATAGAAACCCCCCCCAGGGGGTACGGGCACGCACGCACGCACGCACGCACGCACACGTGCCTGCCGTGAGTTTAAACCACCGGGTCCAAGACCCGAACTGCGGTCAACTACATGGGAGTCCATCGACATAGCCATTACGCTAACTGCTGGTCCCAAGAATTATTTACCTTGATCCATGTATTTATTTTAATTTGATCACAGAGGAGCAGAGTGAGAAAGAGAAAAGGCCAAAAAGCAAGCCGCCAGGTTTGAGACTTAACATTGTTGGCCAATTGGGAGTTCTGCATCCTTAACCCACAACCTGCTGGCCCTATTATTATTTTTTATTTATTTTTAAATTTTACCAGAGAGAAAGGGAAAATGAGAAAGCTTGCCATCGTGGTTGGTCATGTGGGACTGTAGTTTCCTAACCACCAGGCAACTTGCCAAACGTTCTTGATTCATTCTTTGGCAGCTTAGAAATCAGAGAAAAGGTAATACGGGGCAAGTCTGAAGGGTAATTCAGTTTTCAGTGGAATTAGAGGAGTACATTTAAGTAAAATAAACATTTAAGGGACCAGTGTTTGACGCAGTAGCTATGTTGCTGGACTCCCATGGACTCCACTGCGGTTCAAGTCCTGGATCCAGTGGCTTAAATTCACACTGTGTGTATGTGCTCAACATCCCGGGAAGAGAAGTGATTGCGATGTGGCCATCCCTCTAGGGGGATGATTTCTCACTTCCTATTTCTCTTTCTGGTGAGCACATGCACCCTATAGCAAAAACCTCTCAAAACAAACAAAGCATTTAAAATACTTTGTGGTAATGGAGTACTGGGTTTTTCTTTTCTTTTTTTCTAAATTATTAATTTTATTCATTCATTTATTTTAATTTGACGAGAGAGAGAATGCAAGTGAGAAAGCAAGCCACCAGCTCCGGAACTCGAACCATGGTCGGCCACGTGGGAGTGTCCAGCGCTTTAACCACCACACCACCTGCTGGTCCCCTGGGTTTTTCTAATGACAACTTGAATAAACCTATATGCATCCACGTTATATACAGCAACACTTAACCTTCTTATGTGTGTTTTTTTAGGGCAATGTGTATGTGAAGTGCCCATCAATTGCCGCAGCTATTGCTGCTGTAAATGCACTGCATGGCAGGTGGTTTGCTGGTGAGTTCAACGATTTTTCTGAGTTCAACAATTATTACTACTAAAATTGAATAATTATTCTAATCCCGACATAATCTGTTTCTCTCAACAGGTAAAATGATAACAGCAGCCTATGTACCTCTTCCAACTTACCACAACCTCTTTCCTGATTCTATGACAGCAACACAACTACTGGTCCCAAGTAGACGATGAAGGAAGATACAGTCCCTTATGTACATAGCTTTTTTTTTTCTTTCTTGAGAATTCATCCTGAGTTATCTTTTATTTAGATAAAAATAAAGAGCCAAGGGTCTACTGTCATTTGTATACAGTTCCTGTTATCTTGAAAAAATAAAAATGTTAACAGGAATGCAGTGTGCTCATTCTCCCTAACTAGCAAATCCCACTGTATACAAAGCTCTTGTTCTGCCTTTTAAAATGTTCATGTAGAAAACTACATTAAGAATCTATAGGAATAGCTCTAGGAGAACAAATGTGCTTTCTGTTACAAAAAAAAAAAAAGGCAGACAGGGATGTAATGTTTTTAATGTTTCAGAAGCCTAACTTTTTACACAGCAGTTACATTTCACTAATGTTGATATTTGGCTAATAAGGGTATAGCAGCGGTTTCTGGAAAACACATTTAGTATATGGAAATTCAGTACAGCTAAAGGGCTGTTTGGTTAGCATCTCATCTTGCATTCTGATCAATTGGCAAGAAAGGGAGATTTCAAATTAAAAGTATTTCTTGATGGTATCTTTTCAATTAATGTATCTTTAAGTTTCTTTTGTAAATATTATGTGTCCCAGTGTGTCTTAAGATTCCAAACAAAATGATCACTGCATTTCCTGAAGATGTTTAGTGACAGTCTGGTAAGCAAAGCAATCTAAGCAAGAACTAGGAAATGCAGAAATAGGTTTTGTCTGGTTGCATATAATCTTTGCTCTTTTTAAGCTCTGTGAGCTCTGAAATATATTTTTGGGTTACTTCAGTGTGTTTGACAAGACAGCTTGATATTTCTATCAAACAAATGACTTTCATATTGCAACAATCTTTGTAAGAACCACTCAAATAAAATTCTCTTTAAAAGGCCATAAGAGATCTTCATTTTTCTAACATTTTGAAGTAGAGAAAACTTGAATAGAGTGTTAGCCCAACACTTTCAGTACTAGTTGAGTACCTGCCTCCTGGAGAAAATAATTGTCAGTGGAAGCGTCTGGGGAAATTCTGTTCCTCAAGCTGTACCTGTCAGTTACTTATCAGTGTAGCTTAGTGGTGTGTTTATTAGGAATACACATTAAGACAGAAGACTAAGCATATAGCCCAAGTCTCATATATGAAGAGGGCATCATGGTTTACTGTATAGTCTGGGCATCTTTGAAAACATGTTTTGGGACCAGCAGTTAGCGTAATGGCTATGTCGCTGGACTCCCACTTAACCAACAGCAGTTCGCGTCCCGGACCCGGTGGCTTAAAACACACCAGGCGCGTGTGCGTGCATGCCCAAGATCCCGAGAGGAGAATGGAGAAGGGATTGCGGCGTGACCATCCATCCCCCCGTGGGGGTTAATTTCTCGCTTTCTGTCTATGTCTGGCGAGCGCACGTGCCCTATGGCAAAAACCTCTTAAAAAAAAAAAAAAAAAAAACATGTTTTCATTATTTAAGTACCAAACAAAATGGCTTAAGTTCAAACTAGTTTCCCAGATTCATTTAGGTGCTTATGCTATATTACATTAGGGGCTTTTTATTTGGGCAGAGAAATTTCATTTATAAGCTTAACTCTATTTTCAATTTTTCGATATGGTTTCTAGTGGGAAAATACCTGTGAATATTGATCTCCCTTATTTGCATTTCTATTGAATTGATTTTAGCTTTGTGCAAGTTATGTAGGTTTTTCTTTAAACCAACCTTTTGGATTTATACTTAATTTGAAGGAAAACTTGATAAAGTTAACTTTTCCTCAACATCAGGCAGCATGGTTCTTTGGGGAAGAGGTGGCAGAAACTTAATGCTGTCCTATCCTACCGCATAACAATTTTGCATTAACCTTTTGTTCTTGAACCAAGTCCCATCAAGTTTGTCATCCCTTTTCAGGGAAGTAGGCCAGCAAATAGACTTTTGTAATAAAATCACATCTATTAAAAAGGAGTGGTCAAAATGTCCTCACCACCACTAAATGAAATTTGTAAGTGATACTCAAAAGAGATGTGGTTGGAGCTTAGTAACTTGAGGAATGTAATAACATAGAAACCATTTCAAGTGACCATTAAAGTGAAATCCTTAGTCACCAATACTTGAGCAGCATCCCACTCATTCTTTGGACATATGTAGCTACTAAAGCTATAGTATATAGTAAATGTCCCAAAATACTCTTGTATCTGTCATAATACTTCTCCCCCCATCCCGGGCTTTGCACACTAACCAGAGAGGGAGGGAAAGATGGTAAGCTATTTCCCCAAGGAAAGTAATCATTTTGCAATCCCTTCTCCATCTCCCTCCTCACAGGATTTTTGCCATGTCATGAACACATGTGTCCAGTGTGTTTTTAAGCCACTGTGTCCAGGACTTGAACTTTTTGGTTGACTATATAGGATCTAGTTCCCTTAACCTTAAGACCATGGATTTGGCCCTACCATCAATTTATAAAACACTGATTTAAGAAATACTTGAGCTGGGACCAGCAGATGGTGTAGCAGCTATGTTGCTGGACTCCCATGAAGTCAGCTGCTGTTCAAGTGTCAGAAACAGTGGCTTAAATTCATGCCAGGCGTGTGTGCATGTGTGTGTATGTGTGTTTTCATGATCCGGAGAGTAGGTAGAAAAAGGGATTGCGGTGCCAGTGGCTGTCCCTCCTTGGGGGTGATTTCTCCCTTTCTTTCTGGAGAGCGCACACGCCCTATAGCAAAAACCTCCCCCCCCCAAAAAAGAAAAAAAAAACAACTTGAGCTGGGGTCAGCAGTTGGCATGATAGTTACGGCACTTGATTCCCAAAAGGCTAACTGCAGTTTTGAGTCCCAGACTTGACAGCTTTCTTTTTCGCTTTCCCTCTGCACATACCCAATAGCAAATTTAAATTCTTTTAAAAAAATAAGTGATCCTGTCAAAATCTACCAAGGTGCGACATAGTGGCACAGAAGTAAAACGTGATGTCTGTGACTGACTCACTTGGGAAGGTTCTGATTTTGTGTGCAGAGGAGTGGGCTAGGCACATGTGTGCCTGTGATCTGGGGTTAATGCTGGAGGTGGCCCATGGGATTGGGGACCCATTCAAAGTACTACTGTTAGAAATTTCTGTGACCTGTACAGATAGGAGGTATCTGACTGATCACTACAGAATTTATTCTATCAGGCAGTAAATGGCCAGTTCAAAAATCCTCTGAGCTTTATTTAGCCAGTGGAGAATCTACAAAAGTGGCTAATATTTCAAATTTGTTTCACAGTGGATAAACTTCTTTTGATTGTCATTAAGCCATCAGATATATTTGAAGAACAATCTCTGGATGAAGATTGTATTTGAAATAGGTTAAGACCCGTTTTGTTGTGAGATCTTGAGGAAATCTTTAATATTTAAAAAATGGTGATAACAGCAAGCTTACAGGGTTGAACCAAGTAACAGTTTCCTAGACTCTCTGGATGGTACCAGGCATAGGCCTACTTTTTTTTTTTTTTTTTTTGGAGAGTTTTTGAGATTAGGGCACAGGTGCTCACCAGAAAGACAGGAAGCGAAAAATCACCCCCCACGGGGGATGGCCACACCGCAATCCCTTCTCCATTCTTCTCAGGATCTCGGGCATGCTCGCACACATGCTCAGCATGAGTTAAAGCTACCAGGTCCAGGACTTCAACCGCCATCAACTACATGGGAGTCCAGCCATGTAGCCGTTACGCCATCTGCTGGTCCCCAATAGGCCTACGTAATATCAATAAAAGACAAACCTACTCAGTCTATTTTTTTAGGATGAATAATAGGTGTGAGGGTGAGAAACAAATGCCTCTGACAGACATGCAGGCTACTCGAAGACTGTTTTATTATAGTACATGGGCTGGAACTGATGGGAAGGTGTGTATGTAGTAGGCACTCATTGCCCTGGTTATTAGCATCGGATGCCCATTCCAATGGCCATGAACGTGCCAAAGGTGCCGCCACTCTGCATCATCGTTTTTCCAATGCCGCCCATCAGCTCCCGACCCCGCATTCCGATCCTGAAGAGGAAATCAAGATGGTGCCATTTGGGAAAAACAGTATTAATTGCTCCTTTCCAATCTGTACTTTTAATAATTAAGTGAGCTCTAAGTCTGGCAATCCCTGTATTTCATCTGTCACTGGACATTCTCTCTTCCTACCTGGGGTGGATAATGATTAGGAAGATCATCCACCAGTGTCTAGGACATTCTGGGGAAATGTCCTATCACTTGCCTTAAATCTGTGGGATGCAGGATATGCACTGGAAAGTCCCTGGGCAGGCATGTCAGTTTATAGGTCTACTTTTGCTTCCAGGGCACATATGATTCAATAAAATAGCATTTACTGTCTTTTAGATGACTTTGTGGTATTACTGATTCTGAAGTCAGACCTAGGCTCAGAACCTGCAATTTGAAGGCTGTGTCAAGTACAAAATGGGCACCACCTTGTTTACAAAACTGTTGCTCTCCACATACAGTATATATTCAGTAAATGGTAATAATAGCAAAAAAAAAAAAAAAAGTCTTCAAATGTATATACGTTTATCTGCTTTATCACTCTGTCCTGTTCCCAGGATAGTAAAACTGCTCACCAAGTTTGTTTCATGATAGGAAACAGGGAAGGTAATACATAACCTGCAAATGAGCACTTAATATGTACCAGATTCTGTCCAAAGTATGCAGGTTTGATTTTTACTACTATTATGAGATAGGTGGAGTGTCCTCATCTTACACTTGAGGAAATCGTCTTTAACTCACCTAAAGTTTAAGATAAAAACGCAGAACGGGTTTTAACTGCAAAGCTCAAATTCTTACACATTGACGCTTCCGACCTGTCTTTCCAGGCTGAAGCTGGTTAGGGAATCAGTCTCGGTCGCTGAGAACAGCGAGGGAACCGGAGTGAAGTAAGCTCCGTTCAGGTTCCAGGCCAAGCGGAGTGGGGTGGGACAGGAAGGTCCAGTAGTGCCGCCAGAGATCAGGCTCACCGCCCGCGCCCCTCACCTGAGACAGGAAAAGGTGCCGAAGAGCGCCCCGGCCGCCATACCCACGGCGCAACCCATCACAAAGCCCATCTTCACGCGGTCGAAGCAGCTTGGCTGGG